AGAATTGAGAGAGAGAGAGACAAACACACACACACACACAAAGAGGAGAGGGGAACTGCTGGGGCCGGCCCGTATTGAAGAATATGGCCGAATTTACCCGGGCTGGCCGTATATCGGCGTATAACACGCACACATCATTTGCCCCCTATTTTCAGGGGGAAAAAGTGCGTGTTATACGCCGATAAATACGGTATATATAAATATATAAATATAGAAGATAGATTGATCTTGTACTCAAGTTAACTTATTATATGAATAGATGATTTACTCACCACTAATGTGAGTGAACAACATTTTAAAAATGTTTACTCACATTACTAAAGCCGGGTGTGTGTTAGGGTGATATAAAGGGAGACTTTAAAAACATGTTAGATGATAAATGTTGTGGCTGTCTTTTTCTGTAATAAAAGACTGGTTGCTATTTATTCATAGAATTCACCTGCTGTTCACACCCATCATATTGGGCATCCTGTCATATACATTTTAATAATATAAGAGTGTGTGCATGTGTTCATTGTTTTCATTACTTGTTTGTGCTAGATCTAATTTGTCATTTGAGAGAATGTTTTATTTTATGGATGGTTTGTCCACATGAAAGTACAAGATTTAGAAATTTGTTGATAAATTTTTGGTTTTCTCCAATTTTCTCCGTCACCATTTTTGGTGCATACCCATTTTTCTGTAAATTGTGGGAGTAAATTCCTTTTATGATTTCCTGGTCCATTTTTTTTCTATCCATATTACTATATTGAAGTTCTCACTTTTTACCATTCCTATACTGTCTATTTCATTCAACTGGCGGCTGTATCACTGCTAGCACTCTTATACCCGATGGAATAAAATGGTCCCAAATGTTTGGATATGGCCTGAAGTCTTTATACCTTGTACCTTTAGGTGTGTTTGGCTTCAGCTTGGCTGGCTTTCAGGAAAGCATTAAACTAAACTTTTTAAATTGGTGTTTCACATCTAGTTTTGAATATTGGATGAGCATCAGTTGTGCTTTAAATTTGTTTTATAACCAAAGTTGCCAAAGTTTGTTCTACGCTAATTATTTTGTATCCTAGGTCCTCAGAAAAGACAGTATAAAATGTTATAAATTAAAGGTAACTGTATAAAATAACTATGTTTTCTTGATTCCATGTAGTTAATATTTTGATCTTATCCGGACTAATGATAATTGAAAAAAGTAATTCTTCCACCTCCCAAGTGATGATTCTCTTTTAACCAGAGGATTTTCCATTTTTTTCCCTAGAGGGATTTGTAATTGCAAATGATGTAGATAACAAACGTTGTTATCTGCTAGTTCATCAGGCAAAGCGGTTGAACAGTCCTTGCATTATGGTTATAAATCATGATGCCTCAAGTATCCCTAATATACAGATCAATACAAATGGGAAAAAAGAGATCCTCTTCTATGACAGAATATTGTGTGATGTTCCTTGCAGGTAAGTTAAACTATGTTAAACTTTAAGCCAGTAGGCTGTTTGTAGCATACTTTTCTAAAGCTAGTTGTTAAGACAGCAAATATTTACACCAAGTTATAACTTAAGAAGAAAATTGGTACAAAATGTTCTATAGATGGTATAGGCAATCCTCATTTAACAACCCTTATTGGGTATTATGGTATTCTAAACATTTTAGAAATTACAGTTAACATTGATATCAATTCTTTTATCTCTTTATCTTTAAAGATTTAAGTTATTATCAGAGTGTTAATAATCCCTAATCATTGCTGTATAAATACTATTTGTATGCATATAAATATCATTTGTGTTTTACACTATATAATAAAATAATATTAACTTTGAGAAATGCAACTTCTTAAAAATGCAGTACTGTAATTTCAATGTATTCGTATAAAAATGTTATATACGCTCAGAACGCGTAACTTTCATACTGTCTTGGAATTAATGTGGAAATGTCTCTTTTAGTGGAGATGGAACCCTGAGAAAAAACATTGATATATGGAAAAAGTGGAGTACACATAATAGTTTGCAACTACATGGGTAGGAAAATATTTTATTATACATTTTTTTCAATTTCTGGAATGAAATTAAGAATTTGATTAATGTCTTGACTTTTTTTTTCTATAAACATATTACCATTTTGTTCTGTTTGGAAAACTCCAGCCTGTGGACTGCATTGTGGCCAATTCTCCCCATGTATAGATTTTTTTAGTGTCAGGGTCTCCATAGGTAAGTTGACATAAAAATATGCCTCATTTGCATGAATTTCCAGACCCCCCCCCCTTTTTTAAAAAAAATATTCCAAGGTATGTACTTTGGATAGATTTCAATTTATTTTTATTTTTCTGATTCCCCATTCACCAAAAGCCAGACACTTTATTCTAATATTTCTAAAGTGGCCATTTAAGCTATTGAATCCAATCTGCTACTCAGTGCAGCAATTTAAATTAGAGCCTATTTGCATATTTGGTAGATTACTCTCCAGCCTTTGTTTTGATGTATCCAGCTAAGGGAAGGCTGACACTTCTCTAATTAGTTGTGCCCCCAAACTTCCCTTACTGCTATAAATTTTGTTTTTTTAAAATTTAAATCCAGTGTACAGTGTCCCATACTCTTGATCATTTTCTGCATGAGATATGTACTTTTAGGTATTCAAAGTGCTATCATTCCTTAGTTTTTTTTCAAGACTAAAAATGCCAGCCTTCTTCAGTCTTTCTTTAGAGAGCTGTTTCTTGGCCTTCATGCTCTTATTGTTTCCATTTTGGCTGAATTCTTCTTAGCATGGTGCACAAACTGGACAGATTGCTTTAGATCAGTGTTTCTCAACCTTGACAATTTTAAGGCATGTGGACTTCAACTCCCAGAATTCCACAGCCAGCATTGCTGGCTGTGGAATTCTGGGAGTTGAAGTCCACATGCCTTAAAGTTGTCAAGGTTGAGAAACACTGCTTTAGATGAAGCCTGACCAACACAGGCTAAACTGGAACATTTTACTTCTGATTATTTATAACTCTGCTTCTATTGATCCAGTCTAAAACTGCATTTGTCTTATTCTGCAGCCATATTACACTTAGATTCAGTTTGTAATATGTTGTTCCAAGATTTTTTACATGTTGTACACTTTATCCACTCTTTACCTGTGTATTTGATTTGTGTTTCCTAAGTGCATAATTTTATGTATCCATTATATCGCATACTTTTCATTTTGATATTCTAACTCCTTTCCCTATATGAGGGATGGACATTCTGAATGGCTGTATGTGACCCTTACATTACAGTGAAGAACAGTGGTTTAATTTCAGCAGGGGTTTAACAAATTGATTTAATTTTAGTGGCATGATTTGGAGTCATGGGTGGAATGAATGTGGCTTCTATCCAAGAAACTTCCCTTTTCTATTTCCACCCTTTCAATCCCCCCTCCCAATAAAAAAAAGATAGAAAAATCAAGCAAGATGGATTGTGAAATGCTTTATTGAAATCAACACATATTTACTACAGAAGTTACCTACATATTAAAAATGAGATCATTTTAGCAAGGTTTGTTTCCTGATAATTCTCTATTTTTTTCTGATAGTTAGGAAAGTGTGTTCAATATGCTTACAACCTGATTGGGTTTTTTTATCTGCTACAGAATCTTTTCATGCATTGATTTCAGAGTGAACAACTTGGTTCGGTTCTTAACCTGCCGCAGAAAATTAACAGGACATGTGTAACATCAAGGATGCAAACAATATAATTAATTTCAGATTTCAGATTTCATGCCCTGATAATTAAGTGTTGAACAATATTTTCTATGCAGACTACAGCTAAGGATTGCAACTCGTGGAGTCGAACAGCTGGCAGAAGGAGGTAGAATGGTGTATTCTACCTGTTCATTGAATCCTATTGAAAATGAAGCTGTCATTGGTTCTCTGCTGGAAAAAAGTGAAGGTGTGTATAGTTTGAAGGGGAAAAAAAAGAATTGGTATTTTAATTAGGTCAAAAAGAAAGTAAAACTTACTCTTTCGGCCAAACTTGCTGGGTAGCATGTTGATTGAAAATCTGGGTTAATATTTGTTATGTTGGAATTCTAATTTTAATCTAGCTGCTGCTGTCTCATCTTTTTAGAAATTATAGTTGATTAAATACAGGTGGCATGATGTTTCTTTTCTGATTCTAGTCACAAATGAACCATGCTGCCCCTGCAGGAACTGATTTACTTGATTTTTTTCATCCCAGATGTTTTTAAATGTCAGAACATAACCTATCATAGTTGCTAGCTGGTCTTCACTGTTTAAATGCTATTCAAATGTGTTATTAAAGAAGCTATATAAATTCGGTGTAAAAACCTTATATCATGTTCACTTTCTGCCTCACCCTATTTTTTTGAGATAACATACGTACCAAGAATAGTTGCCAGTCCACAATGCTTGTTTGCTTCATGGGTGTGTTTAAGGAACCTTCATAATTTCAATATATTCTTTTTCTTGACAATTTGGGTTAAAGTTTTAAAGGTTGGTCAGAAGTATTTAACTTTTTAAGGCATACTAAAGATTTGAACTGAACCTGTGAACAATCAAGAAAAACAATCAGGGAAGAACGGGTAAAAAAATAAAGTTCAAATAAGCAAGGGATTTACAAATCCATGGAGGTTTTAATTTTCCAGTGAATCATTAATTAACTTTAACTGAATGTATTATATCATTTTAAAAGACAAAACACTACAAAATTTAGACAAAGTTTGCATTTCAGCAACCAGGATCAAAACAATATGAATCACTGAATGAGATTATGAGCTACAGTAAATTATATCCATATTACTAAAGGTAGATTCTGATTTTAAAATTCTGTCAAATTGAAATTTAGTCTAAGCATAAACAGTATAAATATTGTATGTGATACAATCCATCAGTGATTAAAGACCAAAATTCAGCAAATATGGTGAATAAAAGAGAGAAAAAGCAGAAAAATCCCTGATACAATAAAGTAAAGGAAGCACCAATGGCTTCTAAAAGCCATAGCTATTGATAGGAATTTTGCAGCCTCACCTTCTAGAATTGATCAAATAAAAGAAGAGCAGTAATCTCATACGCACAGAAGCAATTAAAATTACTGACAATTACAGCTATGAATTTTGATCATCGTTGAGTATTTAAACATTTTAACAGCACATTGGTGCAGAGTCATCCTTCTTTACCTTTGCACAGAAAAGTGTGGCTTTTACAGAATGTTAGTGTCTCTGCTAATTGTCATCCTAATAGGTAGTTCCCCGTTTGTGTCAGAATAAAGAGCCTCCCACAAGGAGCATGTAAGATATTAAACGAATAGCTACCCGTGGGTTGTGTTTGGGGGGGGGAGAATTATGAGAAGTCCTGATTCTCTGTTTGAATATTTAAATCCCAATTCTCTGCTTTAGTTCAGCCAGTTTATCTAACCAAGGGAGAAAATGGCATTGAGGAAAGGCCTCAATATGCTAAGTCATTGTTAATTTGTCTCTTTAGGAAAAAAAACCATGCCTGTTTAGGAGAAGGGAAGTTTCCCCAAAGAGTTGTTACTGGCAGAATTGAGTCAACAGAATCTTAATTAAGCCCCAAAGAGAATGCAGATTAATTCTAACTATATTAAAATATGTTATTTTCAAACTTACTTGCAAATTTAAGAGTGACAAGATGCTTTGGGGGGCTCTTATAAGCAACTGTCTCTTGAGTTGACCAACTGGTAGGATTATGGCTAATCCTAACCTCAATCCATGTATTAAACTGTAACCTAAGAATTATTTGCAATATAAATTAAATTCATATCAGATTTACTTTGAAGATATGAAGTTATTCTAGATATTGGAAATGGCTTGATTAGCCATTCTTCCAGTCAAGTGACTTTTCCAGTAAAATGCATATAATGTTGATTTGTTTTTTTTAAGGTGCCTTAGAACTTGCTGATGTCTCTTCTGAGTTGCCAGGTTTGAAAAGTCTGCCAGGCATTACAAAATGGAAGGTAATTTTAAAGAATTACATATTGTATTTAGGGATTTATATCAGATGTGAATAAACTAAATTTCCAAAAGTAAATAGCTTCATTATTTATCCAGAATGAAATCATTGGTCTGAATTGCCTTTTTCAAATCTCATCAAGGTTTATTTGGAGCTCAAGCATGCTGTAAACATTTATGCTTCTGCTTAGGAGAGCCAGTTTGGTCTAGTGATTAAGGCTCCAGGCTAAAAAGGACACCATGAGTTCAACTCCTGCCTTAGCCATGAAAGCCAGCTGGGTGACTTTGGGCCTGTCACTCCCTCTCAGCCCAACTTACCTCACAGAGTTGATGTTGTGAGGAAAATAAGAGGAAGGTGTGTTGGATATGCTCGCTCCCTTGAGTTATTTGTAAAAATGATGCAGGAACCAAATAAATAAAAATAAAAAAATTGTGATTTGATTTTGATTTTATTAAATTTATACCCCGCCCTTCTCCCGGAGGACTCAGGGCGGCTTACAGCCAGTTTAAAACAATGATATAATACAATACAAAATTTAAAAAGATTAAAAATAACTATTTAAATTTGGCCGCTTCTACTAAAAATTTAATTTAAAACCCCTTTAAAATACCCCTAGGCCAGTCCTGCCTGC